CACCCTCCCCTTGCGCTGTCCCCAGACCCTGGGGACCACTGCGGTGTGACACTGAGGATCTCTTCGCACCTTAGTCCATTTTCTGTTCTGAAGGTTTAAAAGTTGGGCGGTCGCATCGCAAGACAAAGAAGCCTCTTCCCCCCACTCCTGAGGAAGACCAGGTAGGGGCCAGTGTCAGCATGTGGGTTTGCTCTAAGGTGTTTAAGGAAAGGTCTACCTGGGAAAAGCCAACGTTCAATGACTGACAGGGCATTGCTCAGAGAAGTACAGGCCAGGGCTCTGCTCTGGAGAGAGTTGTCAAGATGATGCCCTAAGGGTGAAGGAGCTTGAACTAGGGGATGGAGCCCAAAGGCTTGGAGGAAAGTCAAATGATCTCACCCTGAGGTTCCTCAGGGGGAGCTGGGAGGATAGAGAAGCCCTGATACAGGGTGGAGGTGTCATGGGTTAAGTCACAAGGTAGAGAAAAAACTTATCTTTTGTGAGGATGGGTGTCCAAGGAGGAAATGTTGCAATAAAAAGCGCTGGGGGGAGATTGGTGTCCTGGTAGAGATACACGTGAGAGCTGACACAAACGCTGCGCTGACCTAGCCTGAGCCCACTGCCCTGCCAGGCCTGGGGAGGGTCTCGCCTGGGAAACAGTTGTGTCTGCCAGCCTCACCATGTCCCACGCTCTCCCTCGCTCTGGGGAAGATGGTGATGAAGCCCCTGCCCCCCGAGCCGGCCCCCAGCACAGCTGGCGAGATGAAGAAGGTGGTGGCCCTCTACAACTACCTGCCGATGAACGCGCAGGACCTGCAACTGCAGAAGGGCGAGGAGTACTTCATCCTGGAGGAAAGCCATCTGCCCTGGTGGAAAGCCCGTGACAAGAATGGGTAAGAGCTCCGACTGCCTGCAGCACTTGCCCCGCAGTGGTGCCCTTTCCCGGTGCCAAGGCACTGGTGGGCAAACACACCTGAAGAGCCTCGTGGGTGTTAGGACAGGCTGCCTGCCTGGGATGGAACATGAGGAGCGTGAGGGAGACTAAAGCAGGCTGCAGTATCAGCCCTCCCCAAGCATGAACCCACATGGGAACCTGCTTTCCCCTTGGCCTCCTCCATCAGAGTGTGACCAGCTCCTTTTCTTCTGCAGGAGGGAAGGATACATCCCCAGCAACTATGTCACTGAAACCAGCAATTCCCTGGAGATCTTTGAGTGAGTAAGAGAAGATGCAGGGATGCGTCAAGCTGCGCTTGGTCAGAGACTTTTTACATTCAGTTAACCTATGCAGCTTGTGAGCCTAGCCTGGCTGGTTGCTCTCCCTCTTGCACACCCTTCGGGAGCCTCTGCCCCCATGACAGCCATCCCTGCCCTGCTCCCTGCACTGCCTGTCCTGGCTGGGCCAGGGTCAGACCAGGCTGGGGACAGTGGTGGCTGAGGTTATCTCCCTAATGACTGTGTCCCTTTTCCAGGTGGTACTCAAAGAATATCACTCGGAGCCAAGCGGAGCAACTGCTGAAACAGGAGGTAAGTATTGGCTTCCGAGGCTGGGTCCTTTCTACACACCAGGCCTCCATGAGCTGCTGTCATGTTGTGTCCAGCATGGGACCAACTCTGGCTTGCACTGGGAGGGGAGTGTCACCTCAACAGCCCCAGGAACCATCCCTACCCCAACATAACCTCCTCCTGGCAGGCACTTCAGGAGGTGGCCCCCCAGGCCAGGCCAGGAAGTAGGACTCCTGTGACCTACCGCACCTTCTCCATCCATGCTATGATCTTCACTCACTTGAAGTGTTGCCTGTTACAGTCACGCCTCCCCACAACCACCCCATCCTCTCTCCCCTTTCTGTTTTAGGGTAAGGAAGGGGGCTTCATTGTCCGAGACTCTACCAGCAAGACAGGGAAATACACTGTCTCCGTCTATGCCAAGTCCTCTGTGTAAGTGGATCTACGAACAGCTTGCTTCTACCTCAGAGGGCCCCTCCAGGCACCCCTCACCCTCTGCCTGTCCTCCCCATGCCACTGACCCCATGTACTATCTCTCCAGAGACCCCCAAGGCATGATCCGCCATTATGTTGTATGCTGCACCCCCCAGAATCAGTATTACCTGGCAGAAAAGCACCTGTTCAACACCATCCCAGAGCTCATCACGTACCATCAGCACAACTCTGCTGGTCAGTGTTTGGGGGACAGAGTGAGGCCAGCAGTGTTTTTGCTGACGTGACAGTAACCTCACCTTCCTGCACCGAAGGCAGGAGGCTTGTGTTCCCTGCTGGAACGTGGCAGGTAAGCGCAGTGTGGCAATCTACCTTTTTGTGTTTCAGGGCTTATATCCAGACTGAAGTACCCTGTGTCTCAGCACCAGAAAAATGCTCCTTCCACAGCTGGCCTTGGCTATGGTAAGCTGGCCTGGGCTACCTCATGGTTCCCTGGGTTGCAGGGCCCATCTCTACCAGCAGTAACTTTCTGGGGCTGGGATCCTGGCTGTTCCACAGCAGCAGGGCTCATAGCCTTCTTATGACTGACTTCCCAGCACTTGCTGGCCCTCTAGTACTGACCAAGAGACGCCACAAGCTACTTTGCTCCCTATCCCCTGGAGTAACAGGTCTTGGATTTCATGGATTTTTTGGGATAGTTTTTCAGGCAGCACATGCTTGTGAGCTCTTCTTGGGCTTGCTAGATTGATGACTGGGAGCACCCTGCAGGGAGGTCACCTGCACCCACATTACACTCACAGTCTCTGTCCTAGGGTCGTGGGAGATTGACCCGAAGGATCTGACCTTCCTGAAAGAACTGGGGACGGGGCAGTTTGGCGTGGTGAAGTACGGGAAATGGAGAGGCCAGTACAACGTTGCTATCAAGATGATCAGGGAGGGCTCCATGTCAGAGGATGAGTTTATCGACGAAGCCAAAGTCATGATGTAAGTGGTGAGCAGCCTGCAGGTCAGTGCTGGATGTGCCTTGCCAGAATGGCTGCATTCCTGAGTGGTGTGCAGGGACAGTCTCAGGCAGCCTCACACTCTGCAAAATGCATCCAAGAACCTACTGCCTTTGTGCTGATTCCTTGGCGAGCTTTTCCATTGTTGGCTGGGCCACAAGAACCTTCCCTTCCCAAACTGTCCTTATTCACAGAAGCTTGTTTTGCTACTTGGCCTTCTAGATGCTCAGAATTACCCTTCTTGCCCCCAACACAGGAACCTGTCTCATGAGAAGCTGGTGCAGCTCTACGGGGTCTGCACTAAGCAGCGTCCCATCTTCATCATCACTGAGTACATGGCCAACGGCTGCCTCCTGAACTTCCTGAGGGAAACTCGGCGGCGGTTCCAGCCTGCCGAGCTGCTGGAGATGTGCAAGGACGTCTGTGAAGCTATGGAGTACCTGGAATCCAAGCAGTTCCTGCACCGAGACCTGGTAGGGCTGTGGCTCCAGCTCAGCAACAGCCACAACATTACCTAGACAAGGTCCATCTAGTTCATCAACATGAGGAGAGGCAGCTCTGCAGTCTTCTCTGCAGAACATCCCTCAGCTTCCCTGCCCACCTGAGCATGGGCGGGATGCTCTGAAGTCACTGCTGTGCAGTGAGATAGCAGAAATTGCAGAATGGGCAGGACTAGGTAGTTTTCCAGGGGACAGGAAATGCATTTGTGGCTACAGCAGGGTTTGCATTAGGCAGCACAGGCAGCATCACTGGCTCAGACATGAAAATGGGCCTCTCGACCCCCCTGACAAGTTGAGCCTGCAGTTTGTCAGGCCTTGGGCTGGCATTGCCAGCTTGCAATCCTGGTAGGTGCTGTACCTAATCGCCTCCTGGTGCTGCTTTATTCAGGCAAAATCCTGCCAGGGAAGTTGCCCCTCCATAGATAAGCTGGATGCCTGGAGGCCTCTCTTGCTATCTTGGCTGAGGACTTTGTAGCTTGCCCGAGTCCAGGTGAACCTGCAGGACAAAGTGAGGCAAAGTCTTAAGTGGGTGGAGGCAAGATGAAGTTCTAGATGGTACAGGGAGATGGGAGAGGCACGAGCAGGTAGGAGTGACTGCCTTCATCTCTCCATCCACAGGCTGCTCGCAACTGTTTGGTGAACGATCAAGGAATTGTGAAAGTATCAGATTTTGGCCTTTCCAGGTCTGGTAGATACATCTGTGTCACCTTCCTGTCTCAATCCCCTATGTCCTCCTTCAGTCTCTTCTGCACTTCAGTCTTTCTCCCCACCATCACTCCAGCTCTGCTTTTCTTGTGTCTTCTCCTGTCTTTCTGCTTCATCTATCTGGCTCAACCTTCTGCCTCTCCACTTTCCACCATTCCTTTCTTACTTCCCCTGTCCCTTTTTCCCCTCTCTTTGCTGCTTCTTTCCTGCACCTCTGGGCTCCTGGCTGCAGCTTTCTCTCCACATCCCCTTTTTTCTACGCTTCTGTGTCACCCTATCCCTTCCCCAATCTTGACTCATATACTTGTTTGCAAAGGGACATTTCTGCCTGTTGAAACCCATGCGGAGTGCAACTTCTGGTCACTCTGAGAGCCATCTGTTCCTTTTGGGCTTGGTCGGTTGTATGGAGGAATGAAATGTCAAATCCAAGACAGGCACCCTGACCCGTTTATCTGCTGCAGGTATGTTCTAGATGATGAGTATACAAGCTCCATGGGGTCAAAGTTTCCAGTGCGGTGGTCTCCCCCTGAAGTGCTTTTGTACAGCAAGTTCAGCAGCAAGTCTGACATCTGGGCTTTTGGTAAGAGCATGGCATTAATGACTTGGAGGTCAGGAAGAGAGGGTGTCCCAACAACAGTGAGCTCCTCTGCAAACCAGCTTGAGGCACAGGCGCTCTCATGCCATGAACTGTCCCTGCCATTTCCTGTAACAGGTGTTCTGATGTGGGAAGTTTACTCTCTGGGAAAGATGCCGTACGAGAGGTTTAGTAACAGTGAGACGACAGAGCACGTCATCCAAGGCCTGCGCCTCTACCGGCCACAGCAGGCCTCAGAGCAGGTCTATGCCATCATGTACAGCTGCTGGCATGAGGTAAGTTGCTCTCACCCTCGATGATCACCCCCAGCTGCCCTGGAGGTGCTGACAGAGGTCTGTGAGTACCCCGGGGTGCAGGGAGCAGTGGGGCAAGCCAGCAGGCTCCTGCAGGGCTCCCCCCTCTCGCATGGCAGAAGGCCGAGGAGCGCCCCACTTTCACAGCGCTGCTGGGCAGCATCCTGGACATCACGGACGAGGAGCCCTGACCCTGGGCTGGGCCGGCCCAGCCCACCGTCCCCTGCCTGGTGCTGGGGGCTGGTACTGCCCCACGGCCTGCAAGGATGGACCCGTGCAGCTGACGGTACCTTAGCACCGCTGGGACGGACCCGTACTGTCGCGGACATGGCACTGGCCACCCCCTGGGCAAGCAGGGGCCTGAAGGGTCCTCGCGGCCGCCAGCG